TACCGCCCGAGGCAGGAGCCTGTAGGTTTCATGTCCTTCCACATTCACTTCGACAAAGAGCCAGGATACCATCGGCTATGAACCTGATTTCGAAGAGTGATAAGGATCACCATAGATCTATTTTAATCTATTCCTTTGTTCAGAATAACTGACACGTCCATCACGTAGATTATCTGAAACTCGTAGCCTGTCCAACTTTAGTCAGGCTAGGCTTTTGTGTTGGCTAGTTATTTATTATTATTATTATTATTATTATTATTATTATTATTATTGTTGTTGTTGTTGTTGTTGTTGTTGTTATTCGTAAAGATGAAAGCGAAGGAAGAGATCGTGAGCCAAACAATAGTTTTGGCCACTTGTGAGGAAATCTAAAAATGCAACAGCTAGCTGGCACAGTCTCGTGTAGCTGTTGACGTTTCTACGGCCCGTGCCCATTGGCTTGATCAATAGCCGGCTGTGTGCCATGAGTTTCTTTCAGAACTACATTTATGACATTCAGATATTTGACTATTTGCTCGAGCTCGAATGTTACCCACAAAACCGCAAAGTCATCTATTGGATAGTGACAAAAGTCCTATCCGGATACTAAAAACATCTTAACACCTCTCTCTGGCGTCGATCTCCCGTTCTACGTTATGTAACTATAGCCGCGACGTGTCCCCACAAAATGGGTATGTAAGCTCTTCCTTTGCTGTCGTACATGTATAAGAATGCCAAACAATGATACGAAGTCTATATATTTCAAAAGGTGACAGGTGCTAGCACCCTGTGTGAAGCTATTGACTTACTGGAAAGGCTCCGATGGAACAGAGGGCTGGTGATATTTCAGGCAAAAGATTCGAGCATACCAGGGGTCGAACCTGGAATCTCCTGATCCGTAGTCAGGCGCCTTATCCATTTGGCCATACGCCCGTGTTATGGCTATGTGGAAATGAACGGGGGTCAATGTAGTATATTGAAGGAAGCAGCGGCTCAAGGAAGAAAATCAATGAAGGATCAGCGACAGAGGAAAACGACGGGAGAGTGGATGGGTCAGGGAGGATGTTTATATAGGATAGAGAGGCTAAGGTGATGATCAGGGAGGCAAGGTGGGTAACCAAGACGGACTGACGTAGACGTGCGAGTGTAACAGGGGCAAAAGCGCGGTGGTCAGGCGTCGTCGGTTTGGGAGGTGCTTTAGTCCTCTTCAACAGGTATATGATTTAGGTGATTGGATATTGGGAAATTAAGCGAGTAAAAAGCCAAACAGCTAAGAACATGTCAAAGAGAGTGTAGCGCTGCTATTAAGAACGAATATGAGTAGTTAGGCTATTGCTTATATGCATATTCCTTTTGGAAGAAGATGCTCATGTTGCTCGTCTTCCTTGTGCCTCAATCCCAGCTGCTGCAGTATTACGCAAACAATCTGCGTAGTGAAATCCAGTTGGGTGTAATGATGGCGTGATGCACATTGCGGAGTTCCTGCCGTATTGAATGTGCAGGTGATTTTAACAGTATGTAAAATAGATTGCTGCCATCTCCTATTTCATCGGACGACCCGCGGCCCAGAAATCGAGTGATCGAGGGATGGAGAACGGAAAGGAGAAAGGGGAAAGGCTGATAGTGAGCGTGCTGAATTTAGGCTAAAGTCATTTATTTCAACCAACCCGGGGGTGCAGGCGAAAGCAAAGGTCACAGCCGACGCCGTGGTATGACTTTGATTGGCTGTGACAAATCTAACATGCGATATATAGTGTACTAACTGGTGCATGTGGGAGGTCTGATACCAGAGGAGTCTATTCCTGGAGCTGCTGCACTGGCTAATTGGACCAGCTCAACCCACTGGCTTCTATGTACATACTAAACTTAGCATGGCCTAGGATCTGCGATATAAAATGACTTAACCTACACTTTATAGGGTATGCTGATTTTAGACATGTTTTCAGATATTTAGTCGTAGGGCAGTACAACAAACATCGAGCCTCTAATGGCAGAGGCCATGGATTAAACCACATATTTTGTATGATTCGGCTTAACTCTGTACTATAGGACACAAAACTCCAAACCAGTATTTAGTGTCCTATTGAGCGGCTCATATCTGCAGGGTCCCTTGTGAAATTGAATGTGACATACTTAGCGGTCTTACATCAAGATAGATTGTCAGTTGGGTGGAGAGTGCTTAAAGCTGTTGCTTAATTTTACTTGTGGCTACCATGGCTAATCAAACAATAGGGACAGGACATCCAAACCCATAATAAAACAATAGGCACGAGACCAAAACATATCTCCTCGGGAGGGGCTCGAACCCTCGACCTTAGGATTAAAAGTCCCACGCTCTTCCGATTGAGCTACCGAGGAATTTTCAATTTGAAAATTACTCTATATATGCTTACACACGTAGCCAAGCATAGGCGAGATTGAATGCCATTTTTGACAAAGGTAAAAGGGATCCTCATCTCATCCTCATTGGTGTTTACCGGCAATTCCGACACAATGTAGCGGCCAAGCTCACACCTGTGCAGAGTAGCTTATAAGTGTCAGGGCGAAAACCATGATGCTATAGATATAGAGACCACACCTGTCGGGATCTCTTACTCCCGATGCTGTGCCTAGCAGTATGTCCAGTATCAGAGTGATGCCATCCTCTTTAGTATATAAATCACTTTCCTCTTGCTAGATGTGTCCTAAGGCATTACTTTTAACACTGCCTCTCACTTTTCCTTTAAAGATAAGGTAATAGGTTTGGCCTTGTCGTCAACAAATTAGCATTGTGTGGCCAGAAGGTGCAGCTTATATTCAATTGGGATGCCAAGAGTTGCGAAGATACGAGAATGATGATATTCTTATGAGCAGCACGTATTCATGTTTGCGGCTGTCACTGCGTGGAGCAATAATAGATCCAAGCTGGACTAATCAGCTTCCTCCGTCTACTCCTTTCAAAAATGGACAATTCAGTTCAAGGGACTTTTTTTTACTACACTTACTGATGAATTCAACATGAACATACAGCATATTTAGGTGTGAGGCGTTCCGGTTCTGCCAGGTGTGGGTATAGCCACTGTCTAGATTGAATATGGTATGGTGGATAGGGATAATACTGAGACGGGGGATTTGAGCTACTGGCTGCCTTTGAGCAATGCACTGAGTATGCCAGATTGTCCAGATTTGACTCCATAAGAGTACTGCGCCAGCTGCAGCCATTCTTCACGAATCCCGTAAGCAATAAGCGTGCAACAGTCGCGACTACATGTTGCCCAATCCATTGTATCGAGCTATCGGAGATCTTGGCAAGATGGCCGCTCCCCATCGTTGAGATACACAAACAGTCATCTCCACAGTGCACGAGGCACTGGCGATTTGATTGTTGGGCAGGATTTGTGCAAGCCTCGTTTCTTTCCCTTTATATTTTCTCTTTATTTCACTCCCTAGATCTGCAAAGTCCACTGGCATCTCACAAAGAACACTTACGAACTGTCAGGAAAGTGCTCCACTCCAAAATTTGACCAGTAGGGCTATCCGGCTCGCTGATCACGATGGTGAAGTCCGTTTGTCGAGATTCAGGTACAGCTCGGAGATATCGTCGCTCAAAGTGGTCGTGTTTGCCTATAAAAGGTATAGTAAACTGTTTGTTTTCAATTTTATAGTCTCTCTGGACAAAGATAGGAAATGGGCTATTGCGTCCCCCACTCAAAATAGCAGTCGGATTTTCGCTGCACTCCCTCATCTCGCCAAAAAACAAAACAAAACACTTTGCAAACAAAAAAAAACTAGCTTGATGACGCTGAACATGGGTCGGTACGAGTTGACGTCCCACTGACCTTCTGTAGCCGTGCTCTTGCTTTGGTGACTGGTGGTTGCATTTGGCTGATCGCAGCCGTCTTATTGTTGGTGGCAGTAGTAGTTGTGTTATCAACTTTCCGTCTTTTGTTGCTGTTCGGTTGCTGTGTGCTGGCAGTTGCAGCTGGTGGCACATTCTCGTCGTTTGCTGCGGCTTCGATATCTACTGTTGTCGGCACGGTTTGTCCAGCTTGTCGCAGCTTAAGGCTTCGTCTCGTTATTATCATGCGTGTTGGGGTGTCTGTTGCAGTTGTGCCATCATTGTCATCATTGTCATCGACTGCAACAGGGTCGCGAGCCTTGCGCTTGCGCTTGGTGGCGGTGGCTGCCTCCTGTTGTTTGCCTTGCTCCACGGCTGTGTCG